GGAGAACATGCAAACTCCCAGGCGTCCTAACCAGGATGCAAACTGGGGATTTTCTAGCTGTGAGGTGACGGTGCTAACCACCGAGCCACCTTGAAGCCCATAAGGCATCAAATGAAGATAAAGCGGCTTTCTTTCTCTGCATAGAAACTCTTTCTGAGCTCATTGTTTTTTCGGATTTTCACAGGAAATATATGTAGATTTTGAAAGTTTCACCTATTACGTATGCATACAGCCACGGTTTGTTGTGTTTCCTGCTGCAAGAGGACACTAATCAATGCCAACAACGAAACAAAACCTCCACCTGGATGTTTCACCATATCAATAACCCGCATACCAGATTTTATTTTTTAGACAAATAATAGTTGAAATCAAGTAACGCATATTGAAAAAGAACCTGGTGTTTGTTGACTTCTTGCTCAGATTAACTAAACAGTGCATCCTTTACATACATTATAAGGCGCTCAAACGAAGATAAATCAAACTGGCTTTCTTTCTCTACATGAGAAAATCTTTCCGAGCTCATTGTTTTTCGGATTTCCACAGAAAATATATGTAGATTTTGAGCCACGGTTTGTTGTGTTTCCTGCTGCAAGAGGACGCCGATCAATGCAGTTTGCAGTAAATGATGTTGAGAACAACTCGGGGTTTGTTTGATGTCATAAAAAGCAAAACAAAATGAAAATGCAAACGATGTGCCTGCTGCTAATTGACCAGCGTCAGCCAACCTGAGAATGCGTCACCGATTCCTTTTTGTAGCCAAAAAAATAACGGTTGGAAACTGTAAACACGTACCGTTATGCTCAGAAACAACCTGGTGTTCATTGACTTTTTTGCAACATCAAATACCCCAGCTCCTCCCGTCCCCACCTCCCCCCTTCCACTCAACACACACCGTCCACATTCTCTTTGATGTGTAGTATCATCGTGACGTCAGCAGAGGTCACACTTACCCTGCGTGGCTGCAGCAGGGATGGGGGCTGCGCTTTCTCGCCTCCACGTGTATTTTAAGGGAGTGGAGCCTTTTGCGGACCGGCAGTGCAGCGACGCAGCCTCGCCGACCAGCTCCCCTCCCTCCACCCAGCACTCGGGTACAGACGGCTTCGCTGCAATCACACAACAAACGGAGTGATTTGTCCATTCTGTTTCTTTAAAAACAAACAAACAAACAAAAAAAGTATGGCGTTAAAGCTTCAGTATGGGGAGGAACCATTTTGATTGTGGCTTTTGTCACGTTGATTAAAGCCGTACAGACGTGCGATAGCGACAACATGAAGCCCTTTGTTGCTCAGAAATCCTACAAAGTGGATGAATCATGCATAAATCATGCCTTCGTATTATCATCTGAAGGCATCTACAATCCATGTAGAATACAAGCTTCATGACAGCTGAACATGGCTTTGACCTAATTAACCCAGTAAACGAGGAACCTGGTCTTGAAAATGACAACAGCTACGGGCCGCGAATTGATTTGCGACGGCGCGATGTGGATATTTTTATTTACCAACGCGCTCGGTTGCATCGAGAGGGACATGATTTCATCTGATACAGCCGTTACATCAAGTTCAAAGTCAGTGTGAGAGCGGAGACCTTAGAAATAAGATAAAGTCGGCCATAAAGCTCCAAACTCAAGGCCTCTTACACAAGACACTTGAATGCTGCTTGTAAATGATGGTGAAATAACCCAGTCTGGGATGGATGGAGATGAATCGGTCTGGGGGTGCTTATTTTTGGACACAGTTTGATAGATTAGGCTCTTCAGGTCGTTTTAAAAGCAAAAGCACATCAAAGAAGTAATCAAATGTGTCTACGGAAAGATAAAACTGGGCTAAACTTTGGGGGATTTAACGAGAAATGCCCCGAAAATGACAACATTTGCCATTTTGTCGCTATTTTCTTCTCATTTCTGATGAAATTTAGCCTTAGCAGTGAGAAAAAAAAAGTATTTTGAATTGCAGGTTTTTAAAGAAAGTAGGCAACATTCATAGAAAAAGTTGAGCTGTAATAAGAGTTGGAATAAACCCAACGTCATGTCAGCCCAAGGACCTGATCAGTCTCCAAAAAAAAAACAAACCGAGCACAAAGCACCAAAGCGAAACTTTAAAACAACTCCGACTGACCCTGGATTCCATTCTTTTTGATTTGAATCGCACAGGGCTCTCAAAACCAGACAAATGATTTGTTCTGCTGAGAAACAAGAAGATAGTTAATAAAGTATTCAATGTTAAAATCATAATAGATAAATCTGCCAGTGAGGTGGCTGTCCTCCACCCCCGGTTGCTGCACACGGTCTTCAAACTAGATGAGTTGGACTAGAATCAAGGAAAGTTCCCTTTATCCTTCTGGCAAAATTTGAAGATTGAACACGCTGACAAATGGCTCTAAGTGAAGTTTCATTTCAAATTGCTGTCTGCTCCATTTGTATCCATCAGTTTCAGACAAAGCTACCTCTCCTTCAAGTAATTCATGCATTTCCAATTCATAACACTGCGCCTGCTCCCGTCCCGGGTTCACGGCAAACTCCATCTGCTGATGAATGCCCGGACCAAGCTAGTAAGTGAACGTTTAGTTAAGACTCTTTTGTCAAATTATGCAGATTGTGACTCTGCAACAATACATTGTAGAGGTATCTTCTCGCATAGCAAGGATTTTTTTTTTTCTTTTTTTACTCTATTTCAAATTAAATTGGTGAGATGAAATTCTACCAATCTGACAAAAAAAAATTTGGAGAGCAGCTTCTCATTAAATAAAGAACTTTTTCTTTTACAGAGCAAAAAAAACTAACTGGTAAAAGCCATTTGGAAGAGCAGACAGAAAGCATATTAGTTCTCACTGACAGCAGTTCAACCCTCAACAAAACTGACCTCCATAAAGCACTAATGTATGGTGTGAGTAGACTCGGTATCCTTGTGATGTTGCAGTGCCCTTAACAGAGAAAAGCAGCTACCCTGAAGTGTACTTAGCAGCAAATTGCAGGTGTAATGCACACTAGTATGTGACGATTCTGTGGCAGTCAGAGGTGACGGACGTGAATAATGCAGGAAGATGACATGTAAACCCGATGTTTGTCTTACCCATTACCACCAGTGACATCTTGCGCGTGTCCACTCCGGGCGACTTCTTAACTTTACACTGGTAGGTAGCGGTGTGAGCAGGCGACAGCAGAGCGATCGAAAGCGAAGCGTCACCGGTCGACGGGTCGCCGGCTGCAAAACTGAGCCCTTCTGCGAGAGCGTGCAAGTATTTAGTGCCGCCGGTATAGGATATAAGCTGGGAAAAACAAACAGAAGCGTAATCACACAAGTGACTCCGAATGGCATTAAACTGATGTTAAATTAAAGCTGCATATGTGACTAAACACAAATGGGGGCCTCTAATTGTGACAAACCCACCGAGGATTTACCGCCAACTTTGCAGCTCCGTGGAACTTTTTTTTTTTCTAAATCGCTCGGAGCTCATTGTTTTACAGCACATTTACTGTGTGCTTCAGTCTCTCCCTCCCCTTTTCTCTTATCAGCTGTGTTTTCAGCAGCAGCGGGGAGCAGCTTTCAGCAAAAAGAAGCAGCAATGATAGACTTAGTGTGTGCTACCTGCCAAGAAGCAAAAGGCAGACAAACAAAGTTAGCGACTAGCTGGTGAAGAATGCAGTTGGACAAGCAAGTAGTTTTCTCAGCTAGCGGAGGCCGAATCGGGAAGATCTGTCGCGAACCTGCAGGACACAAACACAACCCCAAATTCGTGGTAATGGGATGTATAGATGGAGTTTGCATGTTCTCCCCGTGCAGCGTGGGTTCTCTCCGGGTTCTCCGGCTTCCTCCCACACAGTCCAAAAACATGTTGAGGTTAATTGGTGATTCTAAATTGTCCGTAGGTGTGAATGTGAGTGTGCTTGGTTGTCTGTCTGTAAGTGTGGCCCTGCGATGGACTGGTGACCTGTCCAGGGTGTCCCCTGCCTTCACCCTAAGTCGGCTGGGATAGGCTCCAGCCCTCCCGCGACCCTAATGAGGATTAGGCGGTGTATAGAAAATGGATGGATGGGATGTATAGATGGTCATTGCGACGACATTATCAACAACTTTGCAGCATCGTCAATTCAATTCAATTCAATTTTATTTGTATAGCGCATATTTACAACAAGTCATCTCATAGCGCTTAACAAAGGCAGAAACAGAAACACCCAACAATCCAAAACATTTGGATTCCCTATAAGCTTCAGCAGTCCGCAAGCAGTGGGAAGGAACCGAAAACCCCCACAGGGAAAAAAAAACCTCCGACAGAACCAGGCTCAGGGAGGGACGGCCATCTGCCTCGACCGGTTGGGTGGGTGTGGGATGAATTATACAATTTAGTTTACAGTTAAACAAGTTATTAGAAGTTATTGTCCTTTTGTAACAGGAGGCATCATGGTGGGGCAGCAGGATGCAGAAGGTGAGGCCAGTGGCTGTAATTCAGGAGCTCCAGATCCAGAGACATTGTGCAGCATAACTGTGTGTTTGAGCAGCCGTAGACTGTAGCGATTAAGTGTTTGACTGCTTCATGCCATACTCAAGTTGCTCTACAATCAATAGTCGACATTGTTCACTTGTCAGAAGCGGCACATAGTGGACCGAGTCAATCCTCAATATTGACTGTGATAAAATCCCCACCGCCGAAGGGCAGAGATGAGGAGGGGGGAGGGAAGCCATTCTTTCAAGCCTCCAACACTAATGAGTCATTTAATTTGAAAGGCAAATGGGATAAACAACTAATTCCTGTGAAATTAAAAAGGTGGTAAGAGTTCATCCTCCCTCCAGTCTCATGGACTGAATTGGGATTTATACTAGTTGGGGCACAAGCACAACACACAAGGTCAAGAAACTGAGAATGAGGTTTGAATCCTGATTAAATCAGAACTTGTAACATTTGTTTGGTGTTTTAGTTTTTAACCTGAATGTTGACCTGATTGTGCTCAGAATCCTAATTCTGTGGAATACAGCGGAGATGCTGAAGAGCCTTTCCATTTCATGGGTCCATAACTTCCAAATCATATGCTAATGATTGTCGAACTCCTTTCCCGGAAACAACTTAGCATTTAGAGATAATCTGAGAGAAAGAAAGCATTCAGTGCATTTTGAATAAGCGCTCACGTGACGTACGGTTTGTTTAGTCGGTTCACAAAGCTGGAAATACAAAAAATATTCATCTTTGAAATGGATGAAGGATAAAATCTTAAAGAATGAACAAATAGCGAGTGAATATTAAGATGTTTGATTTCTCGGATCTTTCTATTGGAAAAGTCCCTACCAAAGAACATATTTAAAAAAGATAATTGAAAACCTTGAACACAGACCATAGTGCATGAAAAAAGCATAAAAAAGCATTAAATATCACAACTCAATACTTCTTTCTCTCCAACCCTACACATTTATATATATATATGTATATACCAATCAGCCACAGCACTGAAGTTGCTGTCCTGTAAAAATTTATATGTTTTAGGGTTGTTGTTTTTTTTTTTTGTGTTTATAAGACATTTATAGAAAAGACTAGAATAGAATAGAAATACTTTATTAATCCCCAAGGGGAAATTCTGTTGTTACAGCACAAAGACTAAAGTTACCACCACCATAAATAAGCAAATACTCAATAAGAAAATATAAAATGCAAAATGTACAACAAGTGTAATTTGCATTTGGAGATAATCTGAAAGAAAGAAAGCATTCAGTTCATTTCGAATAAGCGCCTACATGATACACGATCTCTTATGTCAGTTCTCATTTCAAAAGCAAAACAAATCAGCAATGGCTGCGTATTGACACTTTGAAACTGTAGTGTTCAAAGACAGCTACAAACACCACACAAACGTAAGGAACCAATTCTATCAACTTGCAGGGTGGGACTTTTCAAATCTCTTTTCTTCTTTAGAATCAGTTTCCAGCTGAATTAGTCCAACACTACAGCGTGTACTGTGAGTAGTTTCAGAGCATTTGAGCAGAGTCACGGGTGAGCTATTGAGCTTGAACTATGTTTAAGTGGGAGGGGTGAGAGTCAGGGACAGTCGCGAACAAACCTTTACATACACTTGCAGATGTTGTCATTTTCCCCAGAAGACCTTTAATTAACCTACGAAAGAATCAAAATCCATGATTCTTTGCTTGCAATAAAAATGCTGTCATGAAGCCTCGAGTAAAGACACAGACACCAACAGGTAGTGAAGGAACAAAAAGTGGACTTAAATCAAAAAGCTGAAATGGATAAATCAAACTATCCATCCATCCATCATCTATACACCGCTTAATCCTCACTAGAGTCATGGGGGGGCTGGAGCCTATCCCGGCTGACCTCAGGTGAACGTAGGCGACATCCTGGACAGGTCACCAGTCTATCATCACATTCACACCTACGGACAATTTAGAATCACCAATTAACCTCAACATGTTTTTGGACTGTGGGAGGAAGCCGGAGAACCCGGAGAGAACCCACGCTGCACGGGGAGAACATGCAAACTCCACGCAGAAAGATACCGGGTGTCCTCCCCGGGACGCGAATCAAACTAGAGCTAGAAAAAATTAAACCAACAATCCAAAAAGGTAGCAAAAGCACGTCATAAACTGGAGCTAGAAATAGAAATGCACAAAAAGGCTCAAAAACATTTTTGATTGACAAAACACAGTCCGACTAATCAGTGCCATTGAAAAGGAGGGAAATGACGGACAATGAATATAAATAAAAACACAAGCAAGACACAAGAAAAGACAATGTCAAAATAAAACGGGAAGTAGAGACATGAAAGCTACATGTAGACAAATACAGTAATGAACCAAAAAGCAACCAAAACCCAAGTCCATGATGTGTTTTAAAGACTCCATCGTAGACCATTAAGATTCATGGTGGTCCATTAAAACCATCATGATACACATGGTCTTTATAAGTTTAGGTAAACTTTTGTTCACAACTTCACATTCTGGAGGTAACAATGGTGTAGAAATCAAAGCCATTTAAACACAGGAGGGGATTTATTGTGTGGGGGGAAAATCTGAATATGTAACTTTGATATACATAGATGAGCTTTAGAGGTTAAAACAGTGACTGGAGACCGACTTTAAAACCACTAAAAAGTGAAGTGAATAACTGCAAGCGTCAGTTCTTGATAAGTTGGAAGCAGTAAAAATTGGCAGCAAAAGGATCAATGTGGTCTGATCCCTCACAGGGGCTACAAATGGCTGAAAACCTTAATACTAACTATTACAGAAAGCTGACAGAACAGACAGTGTATTGCAGTTTGTTGCTTTAGGGGCTACATAGCTGCAGATCTATTAGAGTTCCTATGCTGACTCCTGTCGAAAGAGCCTACAAAACTGGACCAGGGAGCAATGAAAGATGGCTGTCTGATCTTCCGTGTCTGCTTTTACATCATGTGGATGGCTGGTTGTGTTATCTGAGAAAGAAATTGCAATGCTCTGCTGGGAAACCTTGGGTCTTATCAATGATGTGGCTGTTGCACCACCTACCTAAGACCACGTTCTCCCCTTCGGGGCAACAGCATTCCCTGACGGCCTCTTTCGGCTGCGTAATACGCCCTGCCTCACAGCGAAAAAAAAAAAAACTGCTCAGGAGTGGTTAGAGGAACATGGCAGAGTTCAAGATGTTGGCTTGGCCTCAAAATTCCTCATTAAGAATCTGTGGGATGGGCTGGAAAAGCTACTCTGATCCATAGAGGCACCACCTTACAGCCTAAGCTCATGGCTGATTTCTGTGTTTATCGCGTAATTTGCATCAAGCTTACCATTTGATCTTTCTGCGTGGTGTCTGGACTGACCACAGACCACTCGATGTCAAGCTCCCCGGTGTCCAAAGGGTTCGGTGTGTAGCTGCAGCCCAGCGTTACGCTTTCCCCCTCAGCCTTCTGGACGGTCCGCGGGCCCGTGGACGTCACCTGCATCGCTTGTGCGCGTCCTAATTCTTCAGAAATTCAGACAAGTCTTGAAATTAATTACAGACACACATTAGCTGCTTCCTAATCCCTCCTTTCAATTGTCAAGGGTGAATATTATATGTTTTCACGTTCACTGAGCCAGTTTATGGGCTTAATGCGCACTGTTGTAATATTGATTCAGAACCTTTACTCAAAGGAACTCTGGCTGAGAAATGAAAACACAAACATAATCGTGAAGCCAAATGCCACACAGGACTATAAAAGCACTTACAGTTGTTTAAGAATAATTTCACACAGTAGCTACAACTAGAATTTGCTACCCCTCGGTTGCATCCCTCTGGCATCCATATCTATCCAGACTCTGAAGTTTATTGAAAAGACGGAACCAACAAAGACAGAATCCACAGTTGTAGCCATGACAGTAGGCGATGCATCAAATATGGATGTTGCTGTAAAGAGGCTAAAAAATATGACTGCTTCATACCCATCTTCAAAGCAGCAGCACTGAAGGACTGTAGATACACTACATTTTTAAGGTGGGCAACCAAGATTCATGTCACCAATTCAGCATCTGAGCAGATGTCATGTATAGTCATACTCTGCTTTTGTTACATTTTGAATAACATCGCTTTAGACATCTGTGTGGAATGCTGTCATAATTTACACGTGAATTCTTGTTTTATTAGGTTGCTTTGACCGTTGACCACTAAATTCGAATCAGTTCATCCTGGAGTCCAAGTGGACAGCTGTGCCAAATTTGAAAAAAAAACTCCCTGAAGGCATTCCTGGAATATCCCATTCACAAGAATAGGATGGACGGACAGACAATCCAAAAACAAAACGCCTCGGGGCACGATTGTGGCTGGCACGGAGGCAGAATTAAAAAATAGGTCAGCAAGCAGCACATCATAAAATATTTGATTCAGAGTGTAACTATGTATGTAACTCCCGGCGAACTAATCTTAAACAGCTTTGCATTGGTTTTGCCACAAGGCCCTTCACAATATGATCAAGCTCAATGAAAGCAAGGAGCATTTTGAATGAAATCCACAACAAAGGGAGTACAATTAAAAACCTATTTGTCTGCTTGGACTGTGGTGACACACTAAGTCCTGAGGATAAAACCGAAACGAAAAGTGCATGCATAATGAGAAAGCTAGAAATAAACTCATAATAGCCTTTCGTAAGTATGTGACGCATACGGGGGGTTCTTCATTTACAGGAAAGGAGAAGAGCACTGTCATCTGAAGAACTGGCAGGACAGCTTTAGTGCAAGATCCAAATCTGATCCAAATTTGAAAATAGTAGCACATAGATAGTGAAAGATGAGGAGAAATTGGCTTAAATGTGTGGTGAGTGGCAGCCTATACGTGCCGTCTGGTCAGTCAGACTAGTTTCAGTACAACAACTGGTGGATTGGTTTAAAGATAACACAAGTTAAGATAAGCCTTTACTAATACCACAGTGGGGAAATTTACCATGTTACAGCAGCAAAGACAGTGCAAACATACTACTTTAAAATGAGAAAAATCATGTTACTGAGATTTAAATGTGCTGCTCAGCTGTATAGGAGCCACACCCTGAAGAAAAAAACAAAACCTATGTGAGCTCAAATCCCAAGAACATTAGGGATCCAGCAATCATCGCCAGCTATCGTCTCAAAACCTGATTGGACGGACTGCCAGTGCCATGGCAACGTGGGGATGCTTATACCACTGAGGCCTACATCTCAACAACGCTCGACAGAGAATAAGTAAGTGTGTCTCAATTGTCAGTTATGAAAAGATGATTTATTCCATGCCATGTTGACAATGTACCACAGGCGTACTTCACATATATGTGCCTGTGCTCGTATTCATATGGATGGTTAAGTGTCTGTGTTATTACCTCGACTCCAGAGGGTTGCAGCGCATAACAATAAGACAGACGGCCAGCTGAGGCAGGAAGGTGTCAGATGAATGCAGCTTTGTCTGAACATACTGCTCCTGCATAAAAGAACGTCCTAAGCTATTAAAAACGATGAATGCAATGTCCTTACACACATATTACATGATGGTAGGTGACACTGTGCATTTACCAGTGATGTTAGGCGCAAATAAAGCATTGCAGCTTTGCAGTGCATCCAGTTTCATATATATGTATGTAAGCTGCTGTGTGAGTTGCTTACCTGAATGCAGATACTACATCCAAATGTCTGTCTGCGGACTACAAAGGAACAAGCAGCAGCGTGACACCTGTTGCTGCTGCTCCTCCTTCACCTTTACCTCATTAACATGAAACCTTCCGATTGGATGACGGCTCCACCAGTTTTACCTGTTTACCAGAGGGCTTTCCTGGAACCACTATTCAGCTGTTAACATTGCTCGTGACACCTCCTAGGCTTCCCAAAACGCTTTTTAAATCACAATTTAATTAAACTAAAATGCGATTGAGGAAATCAGCATCCTGGCAGCAGAATAGCAACAACAGAAACTGATGAAGCGACCAATAGATGGGGTGCTAATTTGATGAGAACTGAACCCTCCTGAAAACAAAACAGCTGCAGTGTACTGCTTCTTTCCTCATAGTGAATATGCATTTGTTCATTTACTTGTCTGTCTCCATGCTTGTCCATGAGTGCTGCTATTAGACATAAACTTATCCTTCATTGGACTCTACTTTTTTTGTCTAAATGAATGAAAAGCAAATAAATAATCTCCTTACAGGGAACTGTACACGACCTCCTCTGTGTTGCAAACACAATACACCACATACCACTTAATTACATCATATTTGTCAGGTGTCCATTGTTTCCAACAATAAGGAAGACAAAAGCAAACACACAAGGTCTCAAGTGACAAGAAACCAATTGTTTAACCGAAAACACAAACCCAGCAAGGTTTGTGTGTATTACCAGGATGTTTGAAAAGAAAAAAAAAATGCAGAGCTTATCTCTGTGCCACATCTACAGAGAAACAGCCTTTATAAATGAGAAACAGTGGGGGTATCCTTCAGCAGAAAATGGATTAAAGGTTCAAGATAAAGACCTTTATCTGTGCTGGAGCTGTATGCAAATATGAAGCACATCCTTAAAATCTGTGTTTGAATTTTGTCTGGTGGTCATTGCATGTATTTTAGAAGCTTTAGTTGTTTTAAAAAAAAAACTAAAAAACATTTCAATATATATATTTATAGCCACCATCTGATAAAGTAGCACTGTCAGAGACATCTAAAAATCAGCTAAGCTCCCCTCTGACCTAACACACCCACTCCTTTCAAACTTTGAGCAGCTCACTTCATGTACAGTTTTCTGAGTAACTGCTTTGAAGAAGGTATTATTTGTCTGGGATGGATTTTGCTGGAAGAAATTATATTTAAGGGCTCTAAAAGCATGAGACCGGCTTTTTTTTTCTCTTTTCTAAATTACAACGTGCGTCCACACAAGTGGCTCCCGGTCATTTTCGTTGAGACCTATGTCACCGTGACACAACAGAACACAATAATGGCTTCGTATTCTTCTTGCAGCTTCGTGTCGCAGCCAACATATGGTGTGGAGGTGGACAGGCCAACCAGCGAAGATGGTTGCTGGAAAAAAATCAATTGGAACGCTGGTTTAGCTGTGCTGGATCATCGACTGCACTGATATGATTACAGAAAAGACCAGATGACGGTAAGCTGTCTTCCTAACTCTTACATACTGTTCATATTTTGTGCCTTCACAGTGAAGAATTATTCTCAAGAATTCCCTCATACTAAGTACCTCTAGCAAATTTTAAACTACAGATCTATTTAGAATGTCTAGATGTCACATTAATAAATATAAATTAAACAATCCACATAAAACATGGGCTGTACAGTTTCACAGTTTCAAGATTCCCGAAATCCACCGTTTTCCTTGAGTTGACCCACACTGGTGGATCTAAAATCCATCTCAATGAATGCTGGTCAGATGTGACCCAAAACATCCTCAGTGAACAAAAAAACATGTGTAGCATCTGTACAAAAGCATAACATTTTAAAAATATTTTCATTTTTTGGGTCCCTTAAGTCATCAAATTTCAGGCTAAATGACGTTTAGGGTGTTATTGCTGCTGTCAGATGTCAAAAAGGGTCAAATTTGACCCGAAACAGGATGTAAGGTCTAAATCCCTTTGAGTAAAAGGACTTTGTTATCCATTGTAAATATGTCAAAATGCAGATTTTTATGTCTTTTATGCACCCCTGCAGAGATGGAAAAAGTACTCACATTCTTTACTTAAGTAGAGATACTTGTGTAAAAAAAGACTCTGGTAAAAGTAGAAGTCCTGACTCAACTCCTTTCCTCAAGTAAAAAAGTACAGGTTCAGAAATTTACTTAAGTACAAAAGTAAAAAGGAAAAATGAATTTCTAGTTTTGATGACATGCGATGCTTCTTTTGATAACTTTGCAAAACGAAAAAAGTTTAAAGCACACAAAATAGGATTGTTTTCATCCTTTAAGAACCTGCACAGTGCTGGTACAGAGAAATAAATCACTGGACAGTTTTCCATTTCAGCAACATGATAAACATCAAACATTATAATCAACATGGAAACACTCATCCCTTCAAGACCACTAAAATATTTTACTGAGCCTCAGTAGAAGCTGGTTCTCAAAGTTCTTTGGATGAAGATGAGCCCTTTGAGGTCTGAACATCAGTCCTGCAGTGCTAAAAAGCCTCTCGCAGGCAGCTGAGGCAGGCAGCGCTGTGTTGAGCTTCAGTGACAAATTGCACACTGTTGGTAAAGCTAAAGACGTTTGTTGTTTTACGTCATGTCGTCATCCGCCGAGGTTGAAACAAGTAACGAGCCAGTTTTGAGAATGTAAGGAGTAGAAAGTACAGATATTTGTGTTCAAATGTAGGGAGTAAAAATAAACAGTTGTCAGAAAAATTCATACTCAAGTAAAGTACAGATACCTGTAAAAATCTGCTTAAGTACAGTAACAGAGTATTTGTTACTTCCCACCTCTGCAACCCCGTATCCAAAAAATGACCTTCCTATCCAACTAAGCAATCATGTTTTAATAAAAATGTATTTTCTGCTGCATTCTAGTTGTTTCTGCGTTTCAAATCAAGACATCTTTGCCATTTATTTTCTCGCTTCTGTTTTAGCCAACCAATCATACATTGGATGGGGTGGGACTAGTCTCCCTGGTAACCCAGAAAAAGCCTGAAACATGTAATGAAAATGTCATATTTTATCCCAAACTGTGCCATTTTCCGAAACCATTCGCGGTGCCTAAACTTAACCAACCAAGTGTAAACCCAAGTATAGTATTTTTCTAAACTTCACCATGTAGTTTTAGTGCCTATAGCTAATGAAATAGAAAGAGAAAACTGAGAGTAAATACTGAATGAAATTGGAGCTTATGTCGAGTACAATGGTCCACATGTACCAATCCTGGTCTATTGGGTGGGGGTCAGTTCTCCTTTCCTACCTCCTTATGCAGACTTTTCCTTTAAACTGGAATCGTTTCCTCCATAGATGAGAAAATATGTTAGTTTCAAATTGGAATTCCATTTTAAAAGAATGTTAGTTGTATAGAAACAAAGTTTGGTGGAGAACAGGTTGTTTTTATATGTTTGAAGATGTGCAAAATGAGCAGTCAATGCCATGGCTCAGCATTTTTGCCTTGAAACTGCAGTTTGTCGATGAAAATGTCCAGAATTTCATATGTAACAAAGCTTAGAAACCAATCCTCTTAACTTGTGGGGTAAACCTTTCTGTATCGTTATTCTTCCTCAGGTTCGGTTTCTGGTTCAAATATTTATGCCTGAATTACTCCAATATTACAACTTACCATAGTTTGGTCATCTAGTAGTTTTACAGTGTTAAAGCAGAGTGGGGAGCTGGTGTGCTGGAGCTGCAACAAGAGAGAGGCGAGGACTTCATAGAGCTACACAGACAGTTATTTCACTGAAAGACCATTCACGTATGAAGCTTTGATACACAGAGATGGGTTTGAGGGGTTAAACCAATGATGAGAAAAGGACTTTCAGAGCTTTACAAGCCTATTTTTCTGAATCGCAATGTGCATCCAAACCGAGATGTCAAGACCTGTGTCACCGTGACACAACTAAGCACAATGGTGACTCCATCTCCTTCTTGTACCCTCTTGTTACAGTCAACATGCAGCATGGAAGTGGACAAACAGCGAGGCTTTAATGGTACGAGTTCATGACCACAGCTGGTGTGCAGCATCAGCTGTACTGACACAATCACAGAAATGGACAGACCAGTGCTCCGAAAGACCCCTGTAAAATCCTCTCAAACATGTCCATATGGTGTTTATTTATATGCTGGAAGAGGCATCATGAGAGAAATAAGCAGTGGACACCATGGTGCAGTAAGTGTCAGCTTGTTACATCTGCGTTCAGTCTCTCCGTGCTCTCTGGAGTCACCTACACTGTGTTTTGATACCGCCGCATCCTCATTTACATATTTTTCTGTTTCTGCTGTCAGACTAAGTGGGCTAAAATGAAATAATATGAAATAGTGGCCTGTGACAAATGCAGCATAAATCCAGGTTAATGACAACAGCTCTGCTGTATACTATATCAACATTAAAAATGAACGATAGCAGAGAAAGTTAAAGGCACCTAAAGGTTCCCGTCTTGACTTTACGGCGAACGCAACCCCGCACCCTCGGAGGTTTGAACAGTGTTGCCTGTTCGCGCTGAAAGACTAAGCCATCATTTCTGATTTACTAACTGCAAGCTGTTTTGGAAAAGGTCAGCTTTGGGTGAGAAACGTTCAGTCTGGGCAGATGGCTGAAACACACAGAGAGAAGGATTTAACTGGCTAAGCAGGGACGTACTCAAAGTCAATGAACAACATTATCGTGTACAGTAGGAGTGAAGTGATCGTTGACCTGTTTAGCAGAGGTCCGATGCCACAGGTAGGCTGAAAGCTGGCATGGCATGTAGCCTACATAGTGCAGCTTTTAGCAGCTGAAGAGCCTGATGCTTCCATCGCTGATCTGTGGACATCAGAACAGAACTAAAAGCAAAGGGAAAGCTTATCTTACATTAGTAAAATCGACAGAAACATGACTTTAAATGATGCTAACGTTACTCCATATTAAAGCTGCGATGACTAACTGATTAGCTTTTGGTAGTTGCCAATTATTTTTATAGTCAATTAATTGTTTTTGAGTCATTTTAAAGAAAAAAAGGTAAAAATTCTGAATCCATGCTCTTAAATGTGAGTTTTTTCAGGTTTCCTTCCTCCAAACTGTATATTTTTGGGTTCTGGACAATACAAAGACAGTTGAAGACGTCATCTTGAGCTTTTGGAAACACTGATGGACATTTTATAGACCAAACAACTAACCAATTAACCGAGAAATAAACCCCAAGACTAATCAATACCGATTTATAATATTTTTGGGAACCTAAAGGTAACAGACGTTTGGAATCCATTTCCATTCACAGATTAAACTTTGTCAACAACAACAGAGTAAAAGTGACAAAGTTCATTTGCCTGTTTTTTGCAGTTAAAACTTTTATCAGTAATGTTATCAGCATTGGAAAAGTTTGGCTTCTCTGGGATTATTGTTTCCTGAGCTAGAAAACCTCTTTAGTGAAGACAGACAGAAACGAAAACAGAAGAAACCAGGGAATCCAAACAAACACAGCAGGAAGCCTCACTGTTTGGACATGAGGAAATTCCAGGAAAAATGAAACATACGAGTCTAACTTGTTCCACAAACTCTTGGTTGGTTTGGTTTTCAGTTACTGTATGTCAGAATCCTGCTTTAGAGGAAATGCTTTGGGTTTTTTTTTGGACGATGATCTGAATGTCATTGTCCCTTTATTACTTTACAGAAAACAAGTCGAGTAAATGAAGCTCAAGGTAGCTCCTGTGGTTTCACAACACAGACCAAAGCCTCTTTTCTTAACTAAACCTATTTCTTCAAATCATACCCAGCAGTCTGCAAAAGTTATGAGACTTTGTAATGAATAAATACATTGGAAGACATATATAAAAAGCACCTATGAGAATGAATGTATTAACAAGTTACATTATTACACATTAGCATTTACTTTGCTCTCTCATTTTTGTTTGTTTTCTGGATCTAAAACATTACATATCATATTGTTATTATTATTATTATTATTATTGTTGTTGTTGTTGTTATGTTTTTTCCCCCACATGTTTTTCAGCTTATAAGGATTTTTTTTGTCATAACAAAAATAAAATGTCACAAAACCATCTCCAACATGTTTTAATATATATACTTTGGTACAGAAATTCATCAAGTTGAGGCACAACTGAAACACACAAAGTCTAGAAATTCTTCTCAACACCTCCAGGTTTACTTTTTTATATCCTGAGATTGGGGTCAGAAAATATATGTTAGTAATTTTCCAGATGTATCCACGAGCATCTGCATTAGTAATAACATATTCTCCGAGCTCAAAGTCCCATTTGTTTTTGATTTATGCAGCGCTCTCTATTTTATTCTACTAATGATTTACTATGAATTACTCCGCTCGCTTTATCAATTATAGATTTTTCAGTGGGTGAAGGATGTTCCCATTGAAGTTTTAAAATAAAAAAAATAATTGTAAATACTCTTTCAAAGCAACACAGACACGTAAACACACTCAAACTGGAATTCCAAAACATATTACTTGTTAACAATTAACAAAACGACAAAAGAACCTTATAACTTCATTATTGTTTAATTATTCATTTAAAATGGATTTTTAAAAAACTTTTTTTCTTAAACACAGCATTACAAATGCAAAAGACTTCACATCTGACAATGTCTCCACTGTTCAGAAATCAAAAGCCTCTCCTGACTTTATTTGCTGGAACTTCCACAGCCGCTTCTCTGCCAAGTAGGGCACAAGCTCAGTTGTTCACAGTTCCAAAGTGCACTATTACGAAAGCCGCCCAGGCTTTGCAAGATAACCTAATTGACACGGAGACAAAAAGGGAATACAAGCTGGATTTGCGTTTCTGACTCCACGGTTTACCAGCACACACTTAGCTGGCACCAAGACATTAAAACTAAAAAAAAAAACTCCATTGAACTCAAACATGACTGCAGAAATTTGGGACGTTATTATTGTTGGCGCTGGACTATCTGGATTGAGTGCAGCTCATTTGCTCAGAAAAAGAGATGCCAAGTTGAGAATACTAATTCTGGAAGGAAAAGGTATGTAAAATTGGATTATAATTGAAAGCAATTGGTAACCTCAAATTCTGAGTTGCTTTCTACTTTTAATCAGAGAATAATTGAAAAGAGGCACCGTGTTGCTCTCGACGAAATCATGTCCGGTGTTTTTGTTATGCAGATCGGGTGGGAGGTCGTACAATGACCCGTGAACTACCAGCAGCCGGTGGTGTGGATCGCTGGGACCTCGGAGGGCAGTGGGTTGGAAGGTAAAGCAGATTTAACAACTTCAGCTGAGATCACAGATGTAATTAAAGATCCCATTTAATGTGTTTTTAGCATTCATTCATTCATTCATTCATTCATTCATTCATTCATTCAGAGTGTTATGAAGCTGTTGCATGTGCATGTACAAAGTCTACAAATGTATCCAAAGTCCATACTTGATTTGTTATCTGCCACTGAAAACACTCCACCATATCTGCCTGAAACAATTTGCTTCAAGGCCAGAGTTTGACTTATTTACAACACGATGTAACACGTGTGCTTGACACCTGCCCAGTAGCTACTTCAAACAACTATCAGTTTACAACCTGCCAATATCTGTTCACTAGACCCTAAAGCTACTTCTCTCTGCTTGTACTCAGGGATCTGGGGTTACTCCATAGATTGTATATAAGAGATGGATCTAGCCGTGACATCAGCCACTGGTTTGCAACCCGTCGATCTTGTGTTATTATCATCTATTTCACTCTAAATCACACATGTCAAACTCAAGGCCCGGGGGCCAAATCTGGCCTGCCATGTCATTTTTTGTGGCCTGCAAGAGATGTGTGTCTCCTAATCTGATAAATTAATGGCATTTACGTAATAATAACATAATTTAATATAATGTTACAATAATGCAGCAATGTGCCAACATATATTTTACTTTTAGGTAAATGCATGCAAAATATTTGTACATAGGATGAATAATAATCAAATGCAGAGACAGTTGTCTAACAATATGTTCAGAAGTCGTTACATTTCTACAGTCTTACAATTACAACCGGCCTTTTGAGGGCAAACATACATCTGATGTGACCCGGGATGAAAACGAGTTTGACACCCCTGCTCTAAATTGAACCATTATTTAATAACTGTACATCATACTGTATTCAAATGTCTTTGAACTACTGATTAAGAACATAAACTCATCAGGAAAATCTTTACTGAGATAACCGATCAAGTGAGAATTCTCATAGACTTCTATACAATTGGACCTATTTTTGCAACCAAAGGAGTCGCCCCCTGCTGGCCGCTAGAGAGAATGCAATTCACATTGTTGGCTTCACTTTGAAGACCTTGAAGCTTTTTTATATACAGTCTATGGTTACGGTACATAACTATGGTTCCTCGCTTTCATCAGGTCAGTTGACCAATCAGAGTTGATTGAGCTTTTCAGAAGGGGTGATAGGGTCAGTACGAAAAAAAAAAAAAAGGTGAGCTTTTGGAACATAAAGCATGTAAATAGCATCTAGTAGACCCCAAAAAGTACAATTAAAAATGTATACATGTGCACAATTACAGATTCTTCAAAATAATTGTATCATAAGATTGTTTCTTACAGGCAGTTTCTAGTTGACAGGAAAGAAGACGCATTTATTAGTCACAAATACACAACAGCACAGTGAAGTTCAGTTTTTACATATCCCAGTTGGGGTCAGTGCACAGGGTCAGCCATGATAGCGCTAAGGGCCTTGCTCAAGGACTCAGCAGTGGCAGATTGGTGGCGCTGGACCTTGAACCCCCAACACTGTGCTCAGTAGCCAGAGCCTGAGCCAATACTGCCCAAAAAAAGCCGAACTCATGCCATGGAATCATTGTACGGCTGCTGTGGTTGGGGCTTCTTAACCCTGATATGTAGGGCACCCGTTCAACCAGGTGAGCTAAGCTATCTGGGTGCCCCTTAAGAAAAGTACTCAACAAATACAGACTTGCTGTTTTGTTTGTGGAACTGAAAAACACTAAGTAGCAATTAAAATGCAACAGAGTGACACTGAACATCAGATAAATATAGAATCAGTGCTTCAGGAGCAAGCAAATTATAGATAGAATATCTATCTATCCATCTATCCATCTATCCATCTATCCATCCATCCATCCATCCATCCATCCATCCATCCATCCATCCATCCATCCATCCATCCATCTATCCATCCATCCATCCATCTAGTATTAGTAATTAGGACTCATAATGTCAGAGCAGCTAGAAATCAAACACCTCAGTCAGATAGGCGAGCCTCGTCCTCGGTAATTGCAACAAATCCACTCATCGCCGAGTGGCCCGGTCATGCGGCGGTTACCGCCGACACCTGACGGCGCTGACACCCTGACACCTGCTGGCTGGATGTGATCGGCTGCAGCTTTCCAGGACGATGGCTGAGGTTAAGTGGGGTGGATGATGGATAGATTAATTAGCGACACACTCTCTTGGAGACACAGAGTGGGAATTAGGAACATCAGTGTCAATCACACAAACAATTAAGGTAACCATAATTGTGCATTTAGAAAAACCCTCGAATAAGAACACCTGATGTGAATAAGGTCACTTGATACTTCATGTGATACTTGATCTATGCTGCGCTTGAAGGCTGGTGTTCAGAGAGCGAGGGTTTGATTGCGATGTGTACGCTGCAGCATTTGCTAATTATATTACAAACGAGCACTGAAGCGTCTTTTGTGCTCTATCAGTGTGTGATTTATGTATGAGCATATGTAATGAGCAAATGGATTGATATTTTCACTTGTGTATGATTTGCATAAAGTCATAAAATAGCAGTATTTCTGTTTGTGAAAATCAGTGGTAGCTGTTGCATTGGTAACAACATTCAAAAGGCATACAGATATGAAAAAAAAGACGACAGCTGGGTAGAAAAACAGCATTTGTGTGTTTTCAGAGCTTCACATGTGTGTCAGCCTCAATTTTCTTTCAAGGCTCTTCTATTTTTTTTTTATTCTTATCAGCCCTTGTATGTGTGTCTTTTTTCAATTATTCATGGACACCTCTGTGTTATTCAAACTTTTTTATCTCAGGTCCAGCTGCCAGTCTTTTCTAAAACTTACTCATCTCTCGAGGTTTGGCGGAATTATTGTACTGTAACTCAGCGAAAGTAGTGTTTGAACAAGAAAAAAAATAAAAAAAAATATCAGTCACGGTTTAGAATAATTCGCAACGCAGCCTGCTCTGATCAAAGTAACAAACCGTAACGTATTTACACCTCGGAGCTGTCAAGCGAGTACTGTAGGCTCCAACCTCCAGTCAACCGATGACAACAGCTCGGCTCACGTGGAGAATTTGCAAAGTGCATTGTTCAAGAGCACTTCGATGGCAGTTTAATTGAATGAGGGGGGGGAGCATCTCTCAGGTGCTTCATGTCTCCTTCTGTAGCTGTTGAAGAGCTCACTTAAGCGATGTTATAGTCTTAATCCCACTTCTACAAAGTCAGTACACACTTTTTTTCCCCGATCTGCCGCAGCAACCACCAGCTTAAAATTGTGTAGGTTGTCTTTGAGCCACCAAAACATTGTGGCATGGGCTTCATAAGACCTCTGAAGGTGTCCTGTGGTATCAGGAAGCAAGAGCAGCAGATCCTTCAAAGTCCTGGAAGTTGTGAAGTTTGGCTTCTGTGGATCGGACTGGTTTTCCCAGCACATTCCATTCCAGACTGAGTTTTTGGGGAATTTGGAGGTCAAATCAACACCTTCAACTCTTAGTCATGTTCATCAAACCACTTTTCAGTGTGGCAAAGTTCATTCTCCTGCTAAAAGAGGCCATTGCCATCAAGGGTTACTGTTACTGTGCATGTTTAGGTAAATGGTACATGTCAAAGTAACATCCAAATGACTGCCAGGAGCCAAGATTTTCCAGCAAAGCATGTCCTGCCTTCTTCTTATAGATAAATTACACACATGTACCTGGTCGTCCATATGATTCATCTGACCAGGCCATGTACTTCCACTGTTTCCTGGTCCAGTTCTGATACTAACGTACCAGTTGTGGGCACTTTTGGTGGTGGACAAGGGTGTTGTGACACCATTCTATCATATCCAACATTGAAGTTTTTAACAGTGTGAACTGCAGTAGCTTTTCTGTTTCACGGCTTGACCTTCGATCTTGGTTCTCCATGACCCTGTTGCTCATTTACTGGCTTTTCTTAGTTGGACTACTTTTGGTAGGTTCTTGGTTGGTAGTAGATTGGGAACATCCCAGAAGAGCTGCCATTTTGGAGATGTTCTGATTTGTTTAAAAGTTGCTGAGATCCTTATGCTGCCTATAATTGTTCTCTTGCAGTCTTACATATCCCACCTTTTGACAGGTACCACTGCAACAAGCTAATCATTTTTTTTTTACTAACGTCTCCTTTTAATGTTATGGCTGATCTGCATATGCAATTGGAATTCTACATCATCAGAAAAGTGTAAGAATTCCTCAGTAAATCTTGAACACAATCATCACAAAGCGCTTTTAAAAACAGAACACTTTCTCTTTCAGCACCCAAACCCACATCTTGGAGCTCATAAAAGAGCTGGGCTTGGAGGTCTACCCTCAATTCAGAACTGGCAAGAAGGTGCACCACATGGGTGGGCCAACTTCCAAAGTTCGCACCTTCAGGTCCAGTATCCCTACTCTATCCCCAGCAGTGTTAATGGACTTCACCCAGCTCCTGTGGAAGGTGAGACAACAGACATGCACAGCAACATTCTGTCCATTGGTCCATGTTCAGTCGTCCCTGCCGCTTGGAAATGTCATATCGGCTAAATAACTCCAATTCTCAGAGGACAAATACTTGCAAAGATGACGAGTGGTTTAATTCTGTGCATAGAAAGTAAAAGATGACAAATGCACAACAGTTTTTCCAAAGATATATTTTCATAATCAGCTTTATGGCCAATATTCTAACCGTGCTGGAAATGTTTATATGAATAATGAATATGGCAATGGTATTCTTGCAGTGTGCTTTTGGATTGAAAGGATAAGTGAACATTTATCATACAGCAAAGTACCACAAAAAATTCTAGTCCAGGATAAATGGTTAGAGTAGCAGTGGGAAGTAAAGAATGTGGGGGGAAATTGTACTGGCAAAATCATATTTGGCAGCCTCCAGCTATTCCTTTGTTATTATCTGTATCAATGGGATGCTTTTGGTTCACAGTGGTAAATCATCATGTGTGGGTGTGATTGTACTCTGCACTCAGATTGACAGACTGTGCGCAACAGTGTGCGTCCAGGATCCTTCGCGGACTCCCAACGCCGTGCAATTGGACGGCATGACCCTGCACTCGTACTTGGAGCAACACGCATGGACTGCAGGTCAGTTTAAAGTTTTACCTTTGACCTCCTCGCCTGATCCGTCATCGTCAGGTGGACGTGTTGAGTTCCTTCCACTTGATGTTAGTCGCAGAGATTCGAGAGATTCAATACAGCGTTCTTCACACTCTCCAGTGAAAATCCCGTTTTTTTTTCCCCCTGGATGACAAGTCATTGTGGCGTTTTTTAAAAATACGCTAGACGACACATCATGGGCGAAATAGGCAGTCAACACCATGGCTTTAAACTGCAGTGTACCAATTATAGTCTTAAAAACAGAGATTCAGGGATGCATGGAGAGAGATGTGGACTTCATAGATCAGTGGACAGTAAATTCTGGACAAAGCAGCGGTGTAGAGTTACATCTAAGCCATTTTTAGGCAGGAATGGATTAGTATCATGGAAAAAAATTAACTTTGATACACAGTGATGAGTTTTTAGAGGTTTTAGGGGTTAAATCACCAACCGAAGAGGGGCTTTAATTACATTTTTGGTGACAGCATTTGAAAAGAGAATATTAAGATGGTTAAAATATGAGCTCCCACTAAAGTATGTAGAAGAATGTCATGCTGTAATGCTCACAATGACAGTGCTGGTGTTCATCAGACATAAGGTTTGCCATCTGAGCCCAGTGTACTGCCATGTGATTATCCTCTGGGAATCTTGTCTCCACCAAATTTCCTGTTGGACAACATTCGACGAGACTTTGCAGTGTTTAGACATTAGAGATCATGCTGTCTGGTGTATAAATTATGTAAGTATAGACTGTTTTTCATGATTAGATCAAAATACTCACTGCAGTACCACATTTAATTGGTTGCAAACTACAAAAAGAAAGTGTATTTGTCAAGATGATTAAAGAAATGGTAATTATCATCCTCAGGTTGCTCTTTATTTGGCAGACCACTTTGCTAGTTTTCCTGTACAATGATTAGTTTGGTACAACTTTGCAAAGCACTGTCATTGCAGGGAAATGTGTATTATAACTGCATGTGTGAGAGCTCCGCTATGTATTCATCCCTCCAGAACTAAAAGAGGAACTGGGCCTGGGCAGCCGGGCTGTGTTTGGCGTAGAGCCATCCCAGATGTCCTTCTTATTCTTCCTCATGTACGCTGCAGCAGCTGGAGGGCTACTGCCTCTTCTGGAGAGCACTCCAGGTTCTGCACAGGAGTTCAAGATAAAGGTACACCGCTCATATCACTCTCCTGAATGCGTGTTGTTGACTCCAGTGCTTTTTTTTCAAAACAGAACACCACACTGGATTTCTGCATTACTTCAATTAAGCTTGTGTGCACATGTCCTATCAAATACGCTGCATTTCTTCGTCCTCGTGCCATCGATCGGGACCATTTAAACACTTGAAGATGTGGTCTTGTATTGGATTTTCCTACTTAGCTGTTTCCTCCCACAACATGAAACTTCTGGCACTGATCTATTTTTGTGTTATTGCTTTTGAACTTTTTTTTCTCCCTTTCCCACGTTGGTAGAGGGTAAAAAAAATAAAAAAAAGGGGGTGCTGAAGGCCAAAAAAGACTGTCAACACTAATGGAACAACAAGACCTTTCAGAAAATGACAGCGGGACTTTTGGTTTTCAGAGTGGTGCATTAGCACACTTTCTCCACTTTTTCTTTCAACTGCAGCAGTTTTCTCATGGTGGCATTCTAGCTAAACGAATTACTGTGAGGAGCACTGTAAGCAAGACAACACCACAGATGCTGTAAAAACAGCATTAAGTGAATTGGGATGGGCCCTTCTCTTGTCTGTTGTTGACCATAAAAGAGTCAAGGCTAAGAAAGACACTGCTGTGGTATTTTATGTGTTTTTGTCTTCAAAAAAAAGTGTAGAAACACATATTGGAAGCTTTTATTTGCTGTTATGTTGTTCTTTTTTCACATATATACCATTTTTTTTTCCATTGAGAAAGCCTGTAAGCAATGACGAGTATTTTCTAGATTGGCAAGAAAACAGCCAGTTCTGTAACTTATGCACAATGTTTCGGAAACATGTGTTGCTGATGTCATCTCCAATTGATTTTGCACCACAAACAAAACGTTTTATTGCATTTGAGGGTGTCGACAGAAGTCAGTCAGATTACATCAGGCAATATAAATGAAATATCAGCAGGGTTTAACTTCAAATGTTTGGAACTGTACGGAGGGCATCGATGAGTTCGGAGCCCACCTTGTATTGTAATATCTGTCTCTCCACAGGGAGGCACCCAACAGCTTTCGGAGTGTCTGGCGGAACGTGTTGGGTGGAAGAATGTCCGGCTGGGTTCTGCTGTGACAGCCATATGGCAGGTAGAGTACAGTAACGGCTCACTCAGGGATTGATGAGGCGCGACACAGAGATAACAGCTTCCTCAGTGGGGAAACAGGCTGTCTCCTGTGAAGGCGCTGTCTGTTCCGCCTGAATGTCTCCCTTATCCACAGCCGAGAGACCAAGGAGGCTCCACGTAGTCTTAAGTGCACTGCCCCTCGCCAGTGCCATCTTTAGTGGGCCTATTTATTGACTGTTAGAGGATATAATATCTAAATTTAAAACACTGGTTGATAAAACAATCAATGCATTGGATTATATTCTGTGTCATCGGTAAGCAGCCGTTCAGCAAGAAAAACTGCAAAGAACTAACTAAATGTGAGGCTATTTTTAATGTCGTGGTAAATCCAAGACCTTTTTGGTTGGACGCGAGCAATTTGAAGACATCGCCCTTGGTTTTGGGGAATCGTGAAGGACGTTTCCCAATGATTTACCACTCTTCATTAGAGCTGGAACAATCATCTAATTGACAGTAGCTGATTAGGCCAGCTGACACCAAATAAATCTGCAGGTACGCTGCTCACCGACTGATCTTCTAAATCAGTTTCTTGGCAAAAAATCCCCCAAAATACCTGGTTCTGACCTTTTAAATGTCATCATTGCTGTGTTTTTTTCTATGAAAACAAAGTTAGTATCTTCAGGTATTTTGAATAATCAACTGCAGTCCAACTCCTTTGTGCACTAGTTATAGTAAGAATGACAATGAGAAATGGGGAAAAAAATTAGACTTCATCATCTACCCAGCGAGCTTTAGCCCACTGATTAATTATAAGCTAATTGATTCACTATTTGAATCATTTTCTGAGCAAAAATATACCCAAAAGACCCTCAAAATGTGAACATTGATGAATTGTTTTTAATTTATTATGACAATAAAGTCAGTATCTTTGGATTTTAGATAGCAACAACCAGTTTCAAGAGGTCACTTTGGGGTTTTTTTTTGTAAATAGAGATGTGCATTTTGCAATCTTTTAAAAATTGTTAATATATTACCAAAGGAAATTATAAGAAAGAGGACTGAACATTATTAGCTACAGCACTGACTTTATACACTATATAAAATAGCAGAAAAAAATGTATATTAAAAATAATCAGCTGTACTCTTTTGTACACCAGATATGATAAGAACAACAATGAGAAAAGGGGAAACAATGAGAAGCAGGGCATGTTTTCTGTCCACACTTTATCATGAACCCAGTCAGCTATAGTTTCCTATGACAACAAAGTCAACATCTTTGGAGTTTAGATAGCAAAGTGTCCAAACAACCAGTTCCAAGAGGTCACTTTGGGTGTTTTTTGGAAAACAGCGATGGGCAGTTTTGCAAATTTTTCCATAATGACCAATATGTTGGAAAAAGAAATGAGAAGGATTGAAAAATATCTGCTGCAGCGCTACTTTATAAATAAATCAGAAACACGTACGTTGAGAATAATCGACTCCAGTCTACTCCTTTGTACACTCGTTATGCCAAGAATAACAATGAGACAAGAGGAAAGCGAGGCATGTTTTCAATCCCCACTTTATCGTGTTGCCGGTAAGCTATAGCCCATACTAGCGTGCGCTGGGTGAGAGGCAGGGCACATCCTTGACATTTTGCCAGTCTATCAAATTGCTAGCACATATTGACAGGCAAACACATTCACACTGACATTCACAGCTACGGGCAATTTAGAGTTTCCACTTCACCTAAGCTGAAGTGGAGCACAGTGAGGAAACCCACACAGGCACGAGCAGAACATCAAACTTCACACAGAGATGTCCCAGTTGGCGAGATTGGGTTCACACAAAGGACCTTCTTGCCAAGAGGCAATTGTGCTGTGCACATACAAATCAAAAAATATAACATCCCTGTTTTACAAAAAGTGAAAAATAAAAATGACAATAAAAATGCACGTGCAGGAGCTTTAAAAAAAACAAAAAAAACTTGATATCTGGGAGACAGTCTGTTCAAACATGCTTGGACTCCTTTTTTTGCAGACCCGACCTGAGAGTGTGCTCCGAAGAGCAGAGGGTTGTTACAGATATGAACTCGGTACTGAGCAGCTTTACTGGCTTAAAATGGATGTTTCATGTCTGTGATTTTCTGTTATCTATAGAGTTCACTGTTATGGTTTCAGGAGTCATGGTCAAAGTTGTCAAATTCGAGGTGTAAGTGTGTAAAAATGTTCTTTTCAAGTCAAAAAATCAAGCTTCAGCCGACTCTGAACACCTCGTTTTGTTAAATTAACTCAACCGGCGTTGCTGTGCAGACGCTCACAAGGGGAATCTGAGGGTTGTACTGCCGAGCTAGTCTGACTTATCCAGGCTTTCTTTGTGTTAGCTGGCTCAAGAAAACCTAAAATCCCAATCAGAGACACGTGGTATCACGATCAGCTTATTTTGTTAACCAGGTTTTCTGCGTCAGTGCGCTCAAATAGAAGAAGATATTGGAGAGCTATGAGGAACATACAAATTTAGTTTGGTAAAAAGCATTGTTACTGCAAATGATGCCAGAGAGGAATGCTGGTGGAAAACTGTCAGTCATGTAAGTTAATATATTTGTTTTCCCACTCTAAATGTCGGATACTTCTATCATGACAGCTGCACATTAAAGCTCTTAAACTGTAAACTTGACACTCAAAAAGTGCCTTCAGGTCTGACTTTGCCCCATAATTAAGAACGCATGGAAGTAACTTTAGTTTTTGACCAAATCAACGTGATCTTAATGTCGCTGATGGAATATTTTCCAGAAGGCTAATCCGTTTTTTCTAATCTGTGTGCTATTGGCTGCGGCGACCTTGGCTTTGATTCCGGGCCAGAACATAAAAACATATAGCTAGAAATTTTCTGCATCACTGAATGAATGCATGTCGGTTCCCATGGCAACACGATGCCTACAGTTTGCAGACTGTAGCTGCACTCAGGAGGTTTGCAGGTATCACCCCGCTTATTAGATATATCACTCAGAGGGAGTACGATCAGGAAAAGATTTGGTGAAAGGATGGTGGTATTTAAAGCCAACGGAAATCTCAAACTCTGGGTCAGTTGCGTCACCACTGTGATCATGTGACCTCGGTTAAAAGAAAGCCACCTTCATGACATCGAAAACTCCGTCTCCAAGCTCCACATGGCTCACCAAACTGGCTCAGTGGATTGCTGGTGTTACTTGCTCACATATTTCAGAATAAATCTTGGCTTGAACATACAAATTTATTCGAGAAGTTGACATTTTGAGTAAAGAATGAATTAATGAAAATAGAAACCCACTTCTTTGTGTTTCCATAGCCTCCAAAGTCTTCTTCCAAAAGGTGGCCAATCACAATGAAAAGGACATCAAAAGTGGGGGGGCTTTAGGAGACAGAAAAGAGCTAAAAATGACTTTGTCTTAGACAGCAAACCCACAGGAGCAGATCTGGGCTGTGCAGCAATTGTGTTGTAGCAGCTAAACCACGTTAATATAACTTTGGGGATGCACAGTGGCCCAAAATGCATTTCCTCCGTCTACAATCACTGCAAAGAACTGCTGTAAGATAGTGGCTAAATTACAAACGTGATAGAAAACCCAGTGAAATGACTCTTTGTATTATCAGAACTTGATTAATTCAATCTAAGTCAGGTAGGAGTTGAATAAATAGCTTATTTCATGTTGTTCATGTGTGAAGGGAGCACATCTTTGAAAACTCTTTCATCAAATGAATAAGGCACCTTTTTGAATTTTTTTTATTCAGTGTTCAGTTTGCATGAATACATTCATGCCAGACAGAGACTGGACCGATGGAGGCTTCTTAGAGAGCCAAGGTGCCGACTATACACAATATCAGCTTGAAAATAGTCCAGAGATGCAGGGCGACGGCACCAAATAAAGGCATCGGGAACATAAGATGATTTTATCCCGTGCAGCGTATCGCACTTGAGTACAACTTGACAGTGTGTTTTTCTTTTCTTTCTCCCATCGGGCAACAACTTCCACGAAGGTAAAGATAAGGTAAAGCATATTCCACCGTCCCCTTCGTGCCACCGGTGCCCACATTACAAGTCGGTGTCACCGCCTCGGATGTCATTGTGTGTTTACGTTGTTGCTTCTGTTCTGTCGCTTCCCTCCAGATAACACCAAGCAGGTCGTGAAAGACGGCGATGTACAATAGGTGGGGGCTAGCATGAGCTCTGTCGTGTCGCTCAGCCAAGTCGTGGCGATAATTTCTGGGTCTGTAATTACCAAAACAGACACAGCGTTTAACACTGAGGCGGAATTTTGAGCAGTCTGAATAAAGGGCTGCTTTGAACTGTGTATCACAAGATGTCAGCAGAGCCATAGGAAAAATGTAGAGACTTGGAAAATACGTATAATATGTCACGTATATGTGTCACCGTGGCAGGACAGAACAGAGAAGAGCGAGCAGATAACAATTGTCCAAAGTGAGTCAATAATTATACAAGAATAACGCCATCACTATACACTATACCAGTGGATCTGAAATAAAGTAATCAAGATGTGTAGCTGTTCAGTTTTAACTCAAGATGGTTAAAAAAAACAAAAAAAAGTAGCATTAACCATTTAAAAATCCAAGCCTTTTAGCTGACATAGTAATTGGACAATAATAATGTTTATTTTTAATATTTGCATGTAAATCCTTTGCAAAACTTTGGACTTTATGGACATTATCAAATGCTGTTTCCTCCCTGGAGATATTTTGCAGGATCTTTGCAGCCAGATTCAGTTTGTGGGTCTTTCTGACTTTTCTTCGATAAGTGAAAAGCAGCTCACTTCGGTTGATGGCATTCCATTTCTTTGCCTTAAGAGGCTCGGTTTATTTTCACGGTATGTTCTGGGTCATGATCCATCTGTATTGTTAAGTGCTGCCCTGTCGGTTGACTGAATCTGAACGGAGTGTACAACTCTTCGAAATTCATCCTGTGACTTCTATCAGCAGCCACATCATCATTAAACAACCAGTTCCACCAGCAGCCACACACGTGTCCATGCAGTTGCACCTCCTCGGCCATGTTTGACAGATGATGTAGGACACATTGTTCCGGATAACATTGGTTGGTTTCATCTGTCCGAAGAATCTTCTGCCCCATTTTCAGAGCATGAGGAGGCCTTTTTATTTTAGAAAAAAACAATCCAGCCTTTCTGCTCTGGAGCATCACCAGTGGTTTGCTTCTTGAGGTAAACCTTCTGTATTTACATTCATGAAGGCATCTCTTGATGCCAGACTGTGATAATGATACTCCTCATTGCACCTGCAGGTGTTCGGGTCGTTCTCTTTGAAGACGCCACACAGGCGCTCATATACTTGTGGAGAATGTGGTGAGGGATGAATCATCTGATTGTATCTGCTCCGTTTCTTGTCTCTTTAAAAAGGTGCCTGTGGTTTTCTCACAATAAGATCACCCTCCGTGTGTTCATTGGTCCATTTTTCTTTGTGTGTTGCACTTTGTTGTGCTTACACTGAGTCATCAGATGTGCGCTGTTGATTTCCAACCCAGTTTGTGGGCGGTTTTCTCGTAGATCTGGATGCAGATGTCATTTTGATTCCAGTTACGTCGGCTGTCTTTGTCGCGAACCCTCTTTCAGTCTCACTTGGATCTTTCCCTTTTGCCATCTTGATGCAAGTTCGGCATAAACTGGGCCTGTTCAGCCTTTCTGTACACACCACAGGAGGGTTACTGAATGCTTGTAGCTTGTTTGAACCATGCAGTGCACTTGTCTTAATGCAAAAATGGTGTTTCTTCACTCATTTGTTTGGGTTTTTCCTTTGTACAGTCAACCATCTGCGGTATATGTATTTAAGTATACCATTAAGTTCTACCTCTGTGTTCTACTCTTCCCTCTTTTTCTCCATGTTCTGTCCGGTTCTGTCCATTAATATGTTTTGAAAATCTAAAAAGAACATATTGAAAGAAGGACTGCTGACTTGGCTAGATGCTGTGAAGAGGATTTCTTAATCACGAATCAAAACTTCTGTGATCGTCCGCTTCAGTTGTCTTCGATGGTCTTTTGTTGTGTCTGAGCTCGCCAATGCTGATTTGGCCACTACTAAAGTTTTTCATCTATCTTTCTGATGGGTCTGTTTTCTTTTTTTTCCAGCCCAATAACAGCCTACTTCACTTGCATCAATACCCATTTGGACTGCATATCGAGAGCTCCCCCCGAACAGCTACCAAACGCAAATTAAACACTTGGAATCATCTCCAGACCTTTAATCTTCTTAATTTGTCATGAAATGGGAAGGAAATAGGCAACACCTGGCTGTGAAACCGCTTATCAGTCAGTTGTTCAATTACTTTTGAGCCTGCAAAAATGGAGGGACTGTGGAAAAAAAAAATGTCTGCAGTTCCTTAACAGTCAATGCGATATATTTTGTTAAACCTCTTAAATTAAATGAAAGCTGGAAATCTACACTTAAATTGTTTCTTAATCACATCATTTAAGATCCATTGTGTTGGTGTACAGAGTGTACAAACACTGTGTCATTGTCCAAATACTTTTGGGGCCAAATATATGTATAACATGTAGTCTTGATGGCAGGGAGAAATACAGCATTTGGTTGGGGGAAAAAAAGGTGATAATTCAGTAGATATAATTTCAAATATGCACAATTACGTGTGGGTGCTGCCAGTGGAAAGAAGTAATTACTCCACTCACGTTCATAACAGTTTCTGCACACTGTATTTGGAATACATCACACCCAAGTCAGTCAGAAAATTGCAGCTTCGCCACAGCAAGCACGCTGGAATTCACGAGCAAATCTGTGCAATTTGCTAATTGAATAAAACTGTATTTTCTGTTTGTTTGTTTGAACAGGATGCCGAGTGGGCCCGGGTGGCGACTGCCGCCGACACCTTCTTGTGCAGAGCCGTGATCGTCACTTGCCCCCCTCATTTGGCAGGTCAGTGTGCGTCTCCCACCTCTGTCGACTCGCTAAATGAAATTCTCACTGATGCAGAAGGCAAATATCCTCCTCTCTCATCACGTCAGTCAAATGTGGCAAACTGTGCATCCATGCAGATAAATCTGTGATTTTCCTAAATCTTTTTTTTGGCTCCCGGGCGTGGCAGGCAGTCACTTTGGCTGAAGTTGAAAAATTCAGTGTGAGGTCAGGCCCTGGGCTCAGGAACTGCCTGGATTGGATGTTGAACCAGAGCAGGAGTTGAGGCCAAAACTTTAAGTGGGAGCTAATGTGACATTTGCTATGGCTGGCTGAAAGTGACAAACATCTCTTTACCAACCTCACTGCAATCAAGCTACCCACGGAGGGAAAAATAGGATCTTTTGAGGTGAATGAGAAGCTATAAAATTAAAAGCGTCGACTGATTGAAACCTCAAAATACATCACCGCAAATATCACTTGTTTGTTCTTGACTGCGGCCATCCATGTGAACTGACATCATGTTGTGCAGCGGAGCAGAGAAGCACACATCCAAGCCCTGAGCAGAGTCTACTTTTGATTTTCTCGTGAGAAAATAGAAATTCCGCCTTCCAACTTCTAATCAGCTACAAAGTCAAATAGCGTTGACTTTGTTTTGGGTTTTGGATTTGAGATTTTTCTCGCCTGTCAGCCGGTGCTCGTCATGTGTAGGAAGCACGCCGAGACTGGAGTTGATGCAGGTTGAAGTCGAGGCAGGAGTCAGGGCTGTTTTTTTTCTTCTTTTTTTTTTTTTTTGCCAGGTTTGGAAAAGGGGGGCTGAAGCTGAATCTGAAGCTCAGGCTTACACTGGGTCTGTGCCTATTTGTACTAAGCTGGCAACAGATCTGTCACTCAAAGCCTCATACTCAGAGGCATGGACCATGGCCAAGATCCTTAATGAGACAGGTTTCAGAGCAGTGTTGAATTATGCAGCATGGATTGCTCTGGCTCGTATGCTGCGGTGCCACACTTTGGCCTTAAATCAGTGCCAGGGAGGTTGACAGGGACTCTCAAAAGCCAAAGTCAGGCCAGTGATTGAGACGTCATCGCGCCCAAAAGAAGTCGAGGTGATAAATTAAAGACGGGATTGCTGCTTAAAGACATCTGTGTGACATGTTTCATTTTAATTTTCTGGAAACGGGTGCAGCTTTGCCGTCGGTGGGGGAAGTGAAAGAACAAGAAAGGTGGGATTGACGGTGACGGCTCCTCTTGGACTGTAGCGGTCTAAAGCGGTGCTCGCTGGATCCTCTCGTGTTTGGTTCTTTTTTTTTTACAAATGTTTGGTTCTGACAATTTGAATTCACTGACAAATCATTTTCTTTTGAATTAAATAATAGAGAATATGGTAAATATTGAATAAACACACTTTTTAGGCAGAAAAAAAAAACAAAAAACGCTTGCTGCTGTATTCAAACACGTTAGATACGAGCCAAGTGTTTCCTAATATATCATGTTTGTCCTGTTCTTGGCTTCTAGATTTATCTCCCCGTTCATCCATCCATCTTTTATAATGAGTTCCGTCAGTTTTTTTCCCCCTTCTTCTTTTCGTTACCACTTCCCTCACTCATCGCAGTGATTTATGAACTGTTTGGTGTCACTGTATACGAGACTGCGATGCATGAACAGCGTGAGTGCCGAAATGCAAATTTGTTTTTGTCCCGCGATGGCTTTGGAAAACACAGTTGAAGCAGCACGACAACCGGAGGGAGTTGATTTGACTGGAAGAAAAATTAAGCGAGGCAGTACTGGAGAAGTTTGCAGGAGTTTACTAATACAAAATCGAATGTGTACTTAAGGTCATTTACGAGCAATTAAGCGCATATTGTTTATCGCTGACATAAACATACATTCAATATAATTTTTTTCCTCATTGTTGCACTGCAAAAAGGAAAAAAACCAGAACACGAGTCGCCTTTCACAGCATGCATTTAGAGGATAATGTAATTAGGCATATTGTCTAAGATTCTGCAATAATTACAGAGGCAGCTCGGCCGATGCTAAATTAGCATTTTGTTTCCAAATGTTCTTCTGTCTCCCTTTATCATGGCAAAGCGTGCAATCTGGCCGCGGATACACGTGTGACTGCGTGGGCTTGTGCATGGGTGTTTATTGTCGAGTGGGTGAAGCAGAAGTTGTTGCAAAAGTCAGTGTACCTGATTAGGGAGGAGTGTGTGTCGGAGACGGGGGGGGGAGGTAGTATTCATCTGATGGCAACGGAACCTGACAGTCAGCCAAGCAACATTTATCTAAGATCTGTTTTCTCGTTGGAGGTGGAGCTGCAGTAATGACAGCAGGCTTTTGGGCAGCGCTGAGGAAACTATTACATCTGCCACTCACGGTTTAGTCCGGGGGCCTGTTGTTTACGCCGGTGGAGGACGGCTAAAGCAGTGCATTAGCATTGATTTGCCAACTGACACCGCGCGAGCCAGGTTTGTAGGTCAGTATCTGCCGCTGCTTTGAATGAAACTAATGGAGGCCTAATTTAGGGATTAAACATGAAGTGGGAGCGGGGAAAAAAAGTGATTGTCAAGATAATTAACAGCATGTGATTTTTATCTCGCTGGGTTTTCAGACTCTGTGGAAATGAATTCAGCTATCTCTGTGCATTTTTTATTATTTTTTTTGCATTTCTCTCTCCCCTGGTGAGCAATATAGCAAAGTGTAGTGGAACAGATGGAGTGAATGTGGTTTAGCACAGCTTCATTATCCAGAGGAAAATGTTAATTACAGCCAATGGTCAATTCAGTCTTTTGTGTTCCGATCCTGACTGATAATAGACTTTTGACATCAATATCTGACAGCTAAAAAAACGATAACACATTGTAGGATGATCACATTTTAACGTCAATACCCAACATATTTGAGAGGAATCCTTTAAATTTAGTCTTTAAATATGTGAGAAATCTGTCACTGCTGGTTGTTTAATTACATTTAAATAAAGTGTTTTTTCTTGCAGCTTAAACAAACAAATGGATTTAATTTAAACAGCTCATACACCAACATTCTTCATTATTAAACCATTTTTGGATGTTTTGCCTCATCGTGGTGGTAAACCTTTGGGCAATGAAACACAGAACAATATATAAAGTTTATGATGGAAAAGTTAGAAAGTGAGTTCTGCCATTAGAATAATTTCAGAATCAGAATCAGTACTGTACCAAACAACACAACAAGATTTGATGTCCATCCATCCATCCATCCATCCATCCATCCATC